GTTTTTGTAACATGGGAAATATGATTTTCAAAAGACAAGTTGCTATCTTATATAACACCCAGATTTTTGACTGTAAAGGAAGTAACAGTACATCCGTCTAGTTGCAAATTGTAATCCAAGAGATTCTGTGTACTGTCTTTTGGTCCAATAAGTAATATCTCTGTCTTATCCGAATTTAATAGGAGAAAATTATTGGTCATCCAATATTTTACATTTTTAACACACTCTAATTTTTAACACAGCTTAGATAATTTAGAAGTTTCATCTGGTCTTGTTGAGATATATAGTTGAGTATTATCAGCATAACAGTGAAAACGTACACTCGAAGTAGATTGGTCCCTCTAAGCGAGATCCCAATTTCGTTGGTCATCCGACGTGACGTCTCCGTTCCCTCCTTCAGGGAACGAGGGTTACCGTACGTAACCGAGACGTTTTTCCACGCAATTCTAAAAACTTCCAAGTTAGTTTTTCTCAATTTGCACTCAAAACTACAAGTTTCTTTCCTGAGAGAATGGGTATTACTGTTGTACCATGGCGCAGTACGTTTTTCTCTAACCTTTTTCAATTTAATGGGGGCAACAGCTTCTAATGTATTAGAGAAGATAGTGCCCATGTTGCTAGTCATTTCGTCTAGTTCATGTGTATTTATGGGTACACAGAGTAGATGAGATAACTGTCTTTGGTGGCTGGAACAATAGTTCTGCCTGGACGATAACATGGAGCCATATAGTTAATATCAGTAATATGCAGCATGCACGATACAAGGAAATGGTCAGTAACATCATCACTTTGAGGTACGATATCTATATCAGTAAGATCAATTCCATGCGATATTACGGCCCTGGTGGTCTATACACAGTAGCCAGAGCAAGAGATACGATACATTTCTTTTGCATATCTGACAGTGTAACATTAAGCATAAGTATTTCGAATGAGTTAAACCTGTATCCTGTCTTCTGAGTAACATTGAGAATATCACTATATGTTGTTGCAACACCGCCGCCACGACCAGTCTGACGGGGCTCATGCTTATAACACTAGCTTGTTGGAGTAGACTCATTTAGACCAATTTAATCATTTGGTTTTAGCCAGGTTTCAGTCAAGCAGAGTACATAAACTGTTATCTTTGATCATTTCATTATCAATAACTGCTTTGGGTGAGAGTGATCTAATGTTTAGGAGCCCAAACTTTAAAAATTGTGAGCACCAGGGAAACAGTGAGTGTGCACTTTACCTTCAGCTAACGTAGCACGGACGTGCCGGACGATGGAGTCTCCGATGATCACTGTGTCGCGTTCCGTCTCGCGGAGGGAAGCAAAGAGGTTCTGTGGGGAGATCTCGAAGACCGGAGGCGGCAGAGGGGGAGAGGTCGTCGCCTGGGGCCTGGCTCGCGTCTTTCGCTGCGGGTGCACTCAGTGTCCGTGGTGTCCCGGCGCCAGAGTGAAGGACATCTGGGAAGATCGTGTCCTGGGTGCACCGGGCCTGTGCAGAGAAACACACGGAGTAGAGGTGGTAAGAGAGTTAGCAGCGCACTGTATACTTACCCCAGACTTGTGAGCGTCAGCCCGGGATGTTTCCAGCACAGCTCTCTGCTCTCTCAGCTGGGCCTGCCTCTCCACCAGGTCGCGAATCTGCTTCTCCACCAGGTCGCGAATCTGCTTCTCCACCAGGTCGCGAATCTGCTTCTCCCCGGGTCCAGCTCGACCTGCACCGAATGCAGCTCGAACGTGTCCTCACCTGCACTCAAAGGTAGACACACATCTGCCATTAAAGCAAGTAACAGTGAGTAAAACAATGGTAATGTGTGTGAATAGAGTACTAGCAATGTAAGCGAGATTAGCGGCAACCACGCTGGCGATGCTAACGGGCTATATGCTAATAGCAGACTTGGGAAATCAAAATAGAACTAGTGATAACAAGGTGCTCTGATTGTTTTTGTTGTAGAATACGATAGGGGATATATAGAAACGAAAATGATGGTGCATAAAATAGATTTTAAGATAAAAAATGGACGATAAAGAATTAACTTGACTGAGCTCAAACTCAAAACACACGTCAGCAACAATCAGGAAGTGACGTAAAAGTAGCTTACTTTTGCAACTTCTTGGGGTTCCCTTGAAATATTTCCATTGTGGTCCGTTCTATTTGTAACAAGTTTCTGTAATTGGTTGCTCTGTATTTGCAGCTTGTGTATGTATTTGGTTGCTATGCGAGTATTTGCAGCACATGTGTTGTCAAACTGATGATGATGTTTTCTTAATTTGCTGGTGTTTTTTTCTATTTACATACGTTTTCTTCAGTGGCAGCATTTTAAGCTCTCGGCCACCATACATATATATTTTAGGGCTGGCTATCACCAACAACCACAATTAAATTTAGGGTTGCACAGATTTGTCAATGTGTTGTCACTAGTCAGTGCATTGCATCTGTGTCGGCTGTTTGCTGGTCACAGCTTGTTCAATTGTTTTCAATGGAATTCAGCTGATGTATGGTTACAATTTAATAAAACACATTAATAAACATGCAAGGATCGATAATATCACTGCAGTCCCATAATAAGTAGAATCATGATTCATTGATTAATTTTATCAGCACATTTCTACGAACGCTAACAGAAAAACCTACCCTTAACATAAACTGTCACCCATACTCTGCTCTGTCTCCATCATTCAACCCTCTGAAACACTTCACTTCCTCTTATAGACTTCCTCATTCGCTCTCACTCATATCTCTTCTCAGTGCCAGATCTGACTCCTGCTTTCCTCCACTGATGGGGTGAAAGATGTTCTGTTCAGTCTAAGCAGGCTGTTTTATGAATAGTGTCATTAGAGTTTTCTGATGATGTTTACTTTTTTTCTTTAAGCAGTCCTGACACGATGATCGTCGTCGCGGGCGATGTGCGGCGCACCGTCTCGATCAGGCTCCTGAAGTCCCTCTTCAGTGTCTCCGTCTGCCGCAGCTTGGTGTCGTTAACCCCCGCGTGAAGCACGACCACTCCGGTGCTCTCGTCGCCCTTCAGGATCGCGGGTATCTGCGCAGACATCGAGAAGACGAGCACCAGGGAAACAGTGAGTGTGCACTTTACCTTCAGCTAACGTAGCGCGGACGTGCCGGACGATGGAGTCTCCGATGATCACAGCGTCGCGTTCCGTCTCGCGGAGGGGAGCGAAGCGGTTCCGGGTGGAGATCTCGAAAACCGGAGGGGGAGAGGTCGTCGCCCTGGGCCTGGCTCGCGTCTTTCGCTGCGGGTGCACTCAGTGTCCGTGGTGTCCCGGCGCCAGAGTGAAGGACATCTGGGAAGATCGTGTCCTGGGTGCACCGGGCCTGTGCAGAGAAACACACGGAGTAGAGGTGGTAAGAGAGTTAGCAGCGCACTGTATACTTACCCCAGACTTGTGAGCGTCAGCCCGGGATGTTTCCAGCACAGCTCTCTGCTCTCTCAGCTGGGCCTGCCTCTCCACCAGGTCGCGAATCTGCTTCTCCCCGGGTCCAGCTCGACCTGCACCGAATGCAGCTCGAACGTGTCCTCACCTGCACTCAAAGGTAGACACACATCTGCCATTAAAGCAAGTAACAGTGAGTAAAACAATGGTAATGTGTGTGAATAGAGTACTAGCAATGTAAGCGAGATTAGCGGCAACCACGCTGGCGATGCTAACGGGCTATATGCTAATAGCAGACTTGGGAAATCAAAATAGAACTAGTGATAACAAGGTGCTCTGATTGTTTTTGTTGTAGAATACGATAGGGGATATATAGAAACGAAAATGATGGTGCATAAAATAGATTTTAAGATAAAAAATGGACGATAAAGAATTAACTTGACTGAGCTCAAACTCAAAACACACGTCAGCAACAATCAGGAAGTGACGTAAAAGTAGCTTACTTTTGCAACTTCTTGGGGTTCCCTTGAAATATTTCCATTGTGGTCCGTTCTATTTGTAACAAGTTTCTGTAATTGGTTGCTCTGTATTTGCAGCTTGTGTATGTATTTGGTTGCTATGCGAGTATTTGCAGCACATGTGTTGTCAAACTGATGATGATGTTTTCTTAATTTGCTGGTGTTTTTTTCTATTTACATACGTTTTCTTCAGTGGCAGCATTTTAAGCTCTCGGCCACCATACATATATATTTTAGGGCTGGCTATCACCAACAACCACAATTAAATTTAGGGTTGCACAGATTTGTCAATGTGTTGTCACTAGTCAGTGCATTGCATCTGTGTCGGCTGTTTGCTGGTCACAGCTTGTTCAATTGTTTTCAATGGAATTCAGCTGATGTATGGTTACAATTTAATAAAACACATTAATAAACATGCAAGGATCGATAATATCACTGCAGTCCCATAATAAGTAGAATCATGATTCATTGATTAATTTTATCAGCACATTTCTACGAACGCTAACAGAAAAACCTACCCTTAACATAAACTGTCACCCATACTCTGCTCTGTCTCCATCATTCAACCCTCTGAAACACTTCACTTCCTCTTATAGACTTCCTCATTCGCTCTCACTCATATCTCTTCTCAGTGCCAGATCTGACTCCTGCTTTCCTCCACTGATGGGGTGAAAGATGTTCTGTTCAGTCTAAGCAGGCTGTTTTATGAATAGTGTCATTAGAGTTTTCTGATGATGTTTACTTTTTTTCTTTTTCTTTTCTTTTTTGTTGTTGTAATGATTATGATGTTGATGATTAGTATTTGCAATAAAAGACAAAAAAAATGTATGAAAATGATAATGAAGTGATTTTAATTAAAACTGTGATCTGTTGACAGGAAATACAACAACAACAAAATCGATACAAATTATTATTTTTATTATTAATATTATTATTAAGAATAATAATGACTTATCAAGGATGATTGAAATAATAATCCAGTCATATTAACTAGCCAATTGCAGCATTTATTTGTGTGTTTTGCGTGTTTGCCCATTAGGTACAAGCAATGGCTCTGTGCTGGTGTACAACTTGACCAGTGGCCTCCTGCACAAAGAGCTAAGTGTCCATTCCTGTGAAGTCAGGTAAGAAGCCGCATTTTACTCTGTAATCATATACAGTGCTGCTTGTTTTGTGAACCCTTTAGAATTTATTATATTTCTGCATAAATATGACTCAAAACATAATCAAAATGTCACACAAGTACTGAAAATAGACAAAGAGAACCCAAACAAACAAATGAGACAAAAATATTTTCTTTGCCATTTATTTATTGAGAAAAGTTATCCAGTGTTAAAATCAACCAAAAACAAAAACTGGCACTGTAGGAGAAACTCGCAAGGGAACCAACACAACCAACCTTCAGTATAGACCAGAGGTGTCCAGTCCTGCTCCTTGAGGTCCAACAGCTCCAACTCGCTTGCCTAGAAGTTTCTAGTGAGTCTGAAGACCTTGATTAGTTGGTTCAGGTGTGTTTAATTAGGGTTAGAGCTAAACCAAAGCCACTGGAAGGCAAGCCTTCAAACTTTAGCCAAAAAAGCATAATTGCTAGTGATAACGCTTCCGCTTGGGCGGTACGTGGGAAAGGAGGCCAGAGGCCTTTTTTTTTTAATGGATGTCAATGGAGGAGAGGCTTCACTACGCTGAATAAACAGCTTTTTAGAGGAAACAGCTTATCATTTGGCTAATCTTCAACATGTTTTACAAGAGAAGTCACTGATTTTTGCGACAGGTGGGACTCTGTTAACGGCACTTATCATTTATTCCTATGGTAACCATAAATGGTGATTGAGTGTCGCACAACTCTGACTTAAAGTCAATGACGTCAAGACTGTAATGTGTAATGTTATTAAGGCACACGTGATCCAAGTTGACCGTTACGCATTCTCCAATAGTAAGTAATACAGACCCTCTCCTCTCCCTATAGTCAGACAATCTCTGGCTAAACTCTTCAGGACAGTGGCCGTCCAGGAACACGTTTAGACACCCCTGAGTAGGGAGGGATTTAAGAAATAGCAAAACATAGAAATTTTTTTTTTCTCTCTCTCCCTCAGATTTAGTTGAATGTACAGGATGTAGTTTAGGGATGTCACAATATCAATATTAATTTGTAAGAATTCATGACAACAATATTATTGCAGTTTTAGTTGCACTTTATTTTACATTTTGTACAAGTACTCACAGTGTACTTACATATGAAAGTACTGGGTAATATAAGGTAACTACATGGTCAAGGTTAGGTTTAGGTGTATGTTCAGGATTAGTACTTAGTTATTACCCAGTTATTGTAAATAATAAGTAGATGATATGTACACAACATAAGTGTAAAATAAAGTGTATTGCAATGTATTTCTATAGAAATTTTGAAAAATAATGAACAAATTATGAAATCAGTCAAATTTATTTTTATTTGGTGTTTTATATACAGTGGGGCAAAAAAGTATTTAGTCAGCCACCAATTGTGCAAGTTCTCCCACTTAAAAAGATGAGAGAGGCCTGTAATTTTCATCATAGGTATACCTCAACTATGAGAGACAAAATGAGAAAAGAAAATCCAGAAAATCACATTGTAGGATTTTTAAAGAATTACCAATCTACCAATCCGATACCAAAGCCACTGGAAGGCAAGCCTTCAAACTTTAGCCAAAAAAGCATAATTGCTAGTGATAACGCTTCCGCTTGGGCGGTACGTGGGAAAGGAGGCCAGAGGCCTTTTTTTTTTAATGGATGTCAATGGAGGAGAGGCTTCACTACGCTGAATAAACAGCTTTTTAGAGGAAACAGCTTATCATTTGGCTAATCTTCAACATGTTTTACAAGAGAAGTCACTGATTTTTGCGACAGGTGGGACTCTGTTAACGGCACTTATCATTTATTCCTATGGTAACCATAAATGGTGATTGAGTGTCGCACAACTCTGACTTAAAGTCAATGACGTCAAGACTGTAATGTGATTGGTTATTAAGGCACACGTGATCCAAGTTGACCGTTACGCATTCTCCAATAGTAAGTAATACAGACCCTCTCCTCTCCCTATAGTCAGACAATCTCTGGCTAAACTCTTCAGGACAGTGGCCGTCCAGGAACACGTTTAGACACCCCTGAGTAGGGAGGGATTTAAGAAATAGCAAAACATAGAAATTTTTTTTTTCTCTCTCTCCCTCAGATTTAGTTGGATGTACAGGATGTAGTTTAGGGATGTCACAATATCAATATTAATTTGTAAGAATTCATGACAACAATATTATTGCAGTTTTAGTTGCACTTTATTTTACATTTTGTACAAGTACTCACAGTGTACTTACATATGAAAGTACTGGGTAATATAAGGTAACTACATGGTCAAGGTTAGGTTTAGGTGTATGTTCAGGATTAGTACTTAGTTATTACCCAGTTATTGTAAATAATAAGTAGATGATATGTACACAACATAAGTGTAAAATAAAGTGTATTGCAATGTATTTCTATAGAAATTTTGAAAAATAATGAACAAATTATGAAATCAGTCAAATTTATTTTTATTTGGTGTTTTATATACAGTGGGGCAAAAAAGTATTTAGTCAGCCACCAATTGTGCAAGTTCTCCCACTTAAAAAGATGAGAGAGGCCTGTAATTTTCATCATAGGTATACCTCAACTATGAGAGACAAAATGAGAAAAGAAAATCCAGAAAATCACATTGTAGGATTTTTAAAGAATTACCAATCTACCAATCCGATCTACCATGACACACAAGGAAATATGTGACACAGATATTACAAAACAATACAAATAAAGTATTTCTTTATTATATAAGTCGGGTATTCAGTTAAAGTTCCAAGGCGCGGCCTCTATATTTTCTTCCAAGCAGAGGTTCGAACAAAAAAACGTATTGCATGTGTTGCATTTTTACATTTAGATACATGCGAGGCCATGTGACAGAAAAAAATACTGAAAATCCTGAAATCTATACTATTTTAATATTTTAGCCTACTTAAAAGCATTATCTAAAAACAATGCAGCAATAATAATCAAAACGTTCTCATCTTGAGCAGAAAAGAAAGATAACTAGCAATTTCAAAGTTTAAGTTCTGTCCTAGCCATCTAACAACAATTTCCCCTATTATAATTACATGATTCTTTTGAAATGTTCTTAGCCTACAGATTAATAATGCTAAATGTAGATCAGAAACGTTTTGTCACATCTGGTTTGAACAGTCAGAGTCATAGGTTATAGATAGATAAATAGGATGAAAATAACTATATTTGTACCATTGTTGTTTTCTGCTGTGTTTTGTTGTGTTTTGTTGTTTCTGTTGTTGTTAAAATAACCGCGTCATCTGCTGCTTTTGAACTTGGCACCAGCACACGTCCGGAGAGAGAGAAAGCACATGGAGCAATAAAGCGTTTGGCTTTTGATAAAAATACTAGAGGATATAGCGCTGAAAGATATGTACCATAAACGACCTTGAGCGCTTGTTATGTGATCCGCTCCGCTGTTTTGATGCGCTGTTCACTTAAAATGACTATGGCAAAGTAAACATAACTGTCACAAAAGCTACAAAGAAGAAATAATTTTATTACATAAGAAAGTCTAAGGCTTCATGAAGATTTCCAAGACACTAAAAGTTCCTAGAGACAGAGCTGCTTATTCCTAAGCTTAAAATGTGTTGAAGAAGAAGCACAATATCATAAAATGTTTGATCAGTGCAACTGAGAAAAACCTGCAATGTACTGCCAAAGACTTGCAAGATGATTCGATGAAAGGAGGAAACAACATTTCAGTGCAGAGTATTGGAAGAAAACTAAACAAGCGTAATGTAGTGACATCTTACTCTTGACCAAGAAGAGGATAAAGACTGATTTGAATATGCAAAAATGAATTTAGATAGACCTGTGGCATTCTGGAAGAATGTTTTATGGAGTAATGAGACCAAACTGGAACTTTTTTTAAATCAGCGGTGTATGTCTAGAGGTGGACCAGTCTTTTATGGAGGTATTTTGCTGCTACAGGAAGTGAAAAACTTATATGAAGGACATGATGGATTCCTTTAAGTATCAGGCTTTTATGGCAAAGACTGCAATGATTTTCCTGTTGGAAAGTCCAATGATCATCAAGCTTCAGTATATGCTCCAAGGCATTACAAAGTACACATCCAAATCTACTAAAGCTTGGTTCAGGCACTAGTCGTAGAATGTTCTTGAGTGGCCTGATCAGTCTCCAGATTTAAATCTCATTCAAAATGTTTGATTTTAAAAAAGCGCTGGCAACATGAAAACCAAAGATTATCAGTGATCTGGAAGCTTTTTGAAGTGAGGCTAATATTCCAGTAGTGAGAAGATTGTAAGCACTTAGAGGCAGCGTTTATTGGCGTTTATAGAAAAAATCAATTAGGGCTGTCACGATAACTGCAATATTGTAATATTGCGATACTGACCAGTCAATCGTAGAGTATGATAAGCAATCGCCACAAGTGCAATGCTCTTTTTTTTTTGTTTTCCTCATGAGGCTATGCTCTTCTTGTTTTACACTTAATGTATGTGTATTGAATGTTCAATAAATTAATAATCATAGCAAGAGTGAAGAGAGTAATATTTTTACATCAACTGGTTCTTTTTTACATCAAGAGGTCTTCACGGGTACACTTGGATCCGAAAACCCGAGGTCCAACCCAAGACCCGAGTGGGTTTGGGTCCAGGAAGTGAGGACAGCAGCATATCCTGTACTTCTAGAAAGTTGCCCAGTTGACCTGGAGGGCGATAAATAACTACAGTGTAGATTTTTACAGGGAGTGTGACTAACGGCATGTAATTCAAAGGAAGTACTGTTAAAGTAATAAGAGCATGTGAGGTATTTCCAGCTTTTGGAAATGAGGAGACCACCTCTCCCAACCTGATGGGGGGTGTGGGTGAAAGATAAGTTGTTGGAAAGAGCAGCAGGGGTTGTGGTGTCTTGTCTCTTTTCTCATGTCATGTCTTGGTCAAGCCTAAGAGACTAAGAGCTGACTGAGTAGCAAAGGCTGGAATAAAGTCAGCTTTGTTGACAGTTGACTGTTAATTCCAGAGGCCCATAGAAAAAGAAAGGGGTGCATAGAAGACGTGTGGA